CCAGGGATTTTGCTGCGTGGCACGAAATGTGGCCTTCGGAATAAACTTATTTTTTAGTTCAATAAGTTTTTGTTTAAGAACTATCCAATTTTCATTGATGGATCGGCTACGGAAGTTGGCTTCAAAATCTGGGAAGAAGCTACTGAGTTCGTAGTTAATTTCTTGATAGTTACCTTTATCATATAAACATAATGTTTTGTTTAGCATTTCACGGCGCTCTGAGGAAAATGCGAAATCTGCATGGATAACTTTATGGTCGCTAATTTCATCGAGATAGGTAATCGACGATAAGCTAGAAGGATGGGTGGTTAGAATGAGATCAAGGATGTTTGCGGAATTGGCGGCAACACGTGTTGGCTTTGAAAGAAGTTGTGATAAGTTAAAGTTGAAACAAGCATCTAGAAATTCAATCGAGTCTTTCTGGTTTCCTTGTGCGGTTGTTCCGGTTTGCCAGTTAATATTAGGAAGGTTAAAGTCACCAAACAGCAAAATATGGGCGTTCGGGTGGGCTTTGGTGAGCGCATTTAGTATATCGTAAAATTTGTTTGCGAAGTCTGGATTTGCATTCGGTGGTCTGTAGCAGACACCAAGCAGTATTGTGTGGGGTGAAGCCCGGCAATGTAGCCATAAGATTTCTATGTCAGATGCTATGTTGATTACGGAACATGATAATTCCTGGCCGATGGCGATCATTACGCCTCCTCCGCGAGTGCATTCGCGATCTTTTCGGTATATGTATGTATGTATGTATGTATGTATGTATGTATGTATGTATGTATGTATGTATGTATGTATGTATGTATGTATGTATGTATGTATGTATGTATGTATGTATGTATGTATGTATGTATGTATGTATGTATGTATGTATGTATGTATGTATGTATGTATGTATGTATGTATGTATGTATGTATGTATGTATGTATGTATGTATGTATGTATGTATGTATGTATGTACCTTTGTCTCTTTGTTCGCTCTTAACGATACCTTCAACCGCACCAAACAATACTCCAAACGGCCGACCCCATCCGCAGCGGCAACCAATATTAATCAAGCTTAGTGTTTATACTTGTGTGATTGTCAATGAAAAAGCAATTATTGCGCTTTTCTGAAGCACCATAACAACACGTCAATATTCTGTGTGTCTTTTTACTATAAAAGGCATGCATCAGTAATTCTAAGGACCGTAGCGCTTATCACGCTGCGCTGACGATGCAAGGCTTGCACGAAAAGCAATTGTTTCCAACGCTTTGCTAAGGCGACATGATGGTGGCACCTACCCTTCGCCTTGCATTTTACATCTTATCGCCTCCGAGATGGGCGCGCACGCCACGCGCTTCGTTTTCTAGGATGACGGCCAGATAGCGCTCATGTCTCACGTGTGACGTGACTTAATGCGCTCGTTCTCCTCCGCTGCAAGCTCGAGCATAACGCAGCGCCTCCAAAATACCATTCACCGGTTTTCTTGCCCAGAACATCCAATAAACATTTTGTTCAGTCTCTCCAGACGCAAGAGTATCGTCTTTCGACGACATTTGCGTTGTAAAATGCAGGTATGGGCAAATTTTTTTTAAATAAAAGTATGGAACGTGCATAACCAGGCTTATGCTTATGTCCATGTCTCTCCCATATATGATAGAAGGGTACATATAATGCGCTAAAGCGTTCGCGATTCATTTTAAATACAAATGGTTTTCATGGCAGTGTACATATAGCGCTCTGAAGCGTTCACAATTTATTCTGAACACCGAATATCCAGCACGACAAGAGCGAAAGCATTGACCCTCTCTCTCGCGTGGTTGCCTTCAAGGAAATCATTTCGCTCCACGAAAAACGATCATGCCCGAAAGTATCTCTTTTGCTCCGGACACCTCGCTACCTGGTATAAACACCGACTGACCAAAACTCATCATTTTTCCCTATCTGTAAAAAATAGGAAAGCAGTAGTTACATGTTAATGAGTGTGAAGTACGTCTCTATCACACTCACTTTTCTACTAAAAAAACACACTCTCCTGCGTAGAGCGCCCCCTTATCTATTAGAAAAGTCAGCGCACATGCTGAACACAGCCCAGGCTCTTTTTTTTTCGATAAAGCGAGGAAGATTGGGCGTGCGAGCTCTCCTTCCCTAAAACGGGAGAAGAGTCACAATACTGGAGCTAGTGTATTGACTTTCCTCCTCACGTGCGAGGATCATGTGAGAGAGAAGGAAGATGAGAAGAGGGAGGCTCGTTTACGTCACGGGGCCACGCCGAGAGGCGCCGCCAGCGATCGGGGCGCCCTCAGTCTGTGTTCCCTAAACTCCCGCGACCTCCTGTGCAGCGAACCGTCGCGCGCGGCAAGCTGCGCCTGCTGCTCCTGCCGCGTTTTTAGCCGCAGCGCGCCGCAGTGCCGCCGTCCCGTAGGAGGATGTAGAGCGCGTGGGTGCTTACAGGCTGCGAGCGCGTCTGTTTAAGCTTCCGCGTGGTTTCAACAAGCTTTGCCCGCTCCGCTATGCCTGGCAGCGAGGCAATTTGTTTCCTAAACTTCCTCTAGTCTTAACGCGTCGGTGGAAAATAACTTTAAAAGGCGATATCAACTTTGTGAAAGCAATTTTTTAGCAATATTGGGAAGCCTAGGTATCAAGAAGGTTAGCTTTAGAAAGGTGAATTAGAAGCATCCGCGAGTAAATTAGTTGGTTTTAGTGGGCTTAAGGAAGGTACAGCCTAATTAAGCCAGAAAAAAAGAATAGAAAGAGGTGCAGCCACCACCCTACATAGATCATCATGTTCTGTAGCAAGAATGCTTACGATTATCAGCATATAAGCATTTCATCGTCATCGGTGGATGTAGACTACACTACGTGAGCATTAAAAAACCCATATGCGAAACATCGTTGCATGTGCCTTTACGTTCTTAACATCGATGTACAGCAACTACGTCTAACAACCAGCTACCACAATGCGAGTGGTAAGTGATTCAGCAAGCGTGCCTCTAATCGGTCTAAGGGGGAAAAACAGTTTGCCATGAGGGCGAGCCCTAAAAATAATTCACCCGTTTGTTCGAGAAATGTGAAAACTCGGAGAAAAACCAAACGTCGGGCGAGTTGATAAGTACATGGTAACTTAACTTTAATTCCGTGGCATTGGAAGCCACAGGATTGAAAGTCTCGAGCCTCGAATAACAGGCGGTGTCAGTACGGGGTACGAAAACGATAACCCCCCCCCCCCCCGTCCCTTTCCGAATAGTTTCGCCTGCCCCACCTCCACCCACTGCCCCCTAAAGCAAGTTGTCGAAACACAAGGCATCATTTTGTGTGACAAAAGAAAAAAAAATATGACGAACTTAAGAAACCACACTGTGTTCGCTGTGTGTCACTGCATCACACCTCATCTAGTGAAAAAAAAATAGAATACCGGTGCCGATCCTGCTTTGAGTCGCTTAAAGTTTGTTTAAGGCCCAGCCGGTGCCACGATGTTGATGCGACGCAGATAGCAAAAACCAGTGCCCTAAACCAAACAAAAGGCAAAAGAGTGACGTCAGTGCAAATGGAGTGCTCCGAAACGCAGCGTCCCGCATCATCTGTCGCCAGAATCGAGCTCTTTAATTTTTGCTGCTTTTGTTAGCTGTTGCGGGTGGAGGAACATTGTTGCTTCTTTATGCGGCGCGTGTCACCAGACCTCCGTCGGCAATCTTGGGAGGTCGCCAGTGTGATCAATAATGAGCCACAACAGGCTGGAAAGCACGCCAGCGGCAACAAAAAGGAAGCAGCGAATGCGGTGTCCAGCTTTTGTTGGAGGTCAGAAAACCTACTGAGACAGACTCCAAGCCGCTGTAGGGACCACACCACCAAGGGTTCGCGGAAAGTATGCGGGATTTCACTCGTGGTGCCACCTCCCGACCGTCATCTACAATGACGTAGACGTCTATGCGGAGTACAATTTGTAGGCCTTTACCGCTAATCAGGTCTAAGCCGTAATAACTTGTGCTGGATGTTTCTATATTCACAGTACATGACAACTTACTGAGCAATATTCAGGTCACTCGCGTTTCTAAATACTGCTGAATTGCAAAGTTGAGATCGGCGCGCATACAACCCCTTTCTCCCTTTTCTCTTTCATTGAAACATGGTTTCCGCGGATCTCCGCAAGGAGCCGCTGAGGGCGCTTTTCGGAATCCCAATGCGCCGAGCTCGAATCCGGCCGATGTGTTTCCATCGTTCAACATGTCGGGAGCACTGGGAGCCCCCGCTTCGAGCGCTGCTCTCGGAGAGACGTAGACCTCTCTGCTGTGGCATCGGGTGCGCTCTTCCTGCATCTCTGACGGCACACTCCCGGAGTTTTGGGAGAGTGAAAGGGTCCAGTAAGAGGGAGGGAGAGAACTTGCGTGGGCGTGTGGTGGCCCGCGCGGTCGCGGCGGGTTGGCTTCTGCTGGCTGCGGCGTGGTGCTGCCGTGTGTCCCGTGCCAGGATTGCGTGCTCGCGGCGCGGTGGTGCTGAGGCGCCTTCGAGCGGCCATGCATCACCGGCGGCGACGCGACTCTGACCCGGGACGACAGAGAATGGCGTCCGCCGAAGTCGCCGTCGCACCGCCGCTGCTGTTGCTGCTGCTGCCCCGAGTGCTGAAGCCGCTGCGGCCGCTGCGGCGGCCGCAGCGTCGGTCCGGCGCTCGGTAGCGCCTGACCGACCCCGGCGGAAGCCGCGAGAGAGACGGGGGCCCTGGCGCCTTCGGCGTCATGGCGCGACCCACCGCGCTGCTGTTCCCTTTGGTCCTGCTGGCTCCGCTGCTGGTGCGTTGCTCGGAGCCGCAGGCGCCGGCGTTGCTGGCCGCGCTGCCCGCGCGCTCGGCCCCGGCGCTGGCCCGGGCGCTGCGGCGCGTGCTGGCGCGCTCAGGGCCAGGGCCCCGGCGACTCGCCGGGGCCCTGGTTTGCGGTCACGCTCGCCGTGGACGCCGACACGCGCGCGGCACTGGCCGCCCTGTGCGCCGCCCTCGAGAACCACAGGCCTCTGCTGGTGGTTTCGATGGCACCGCCTCCGTCAGCTTTCGCGGCAGCGTTGGCCGCGGGATACGCCAAGCTTCCCGTGCTCGCCTACACTGGAGGATACCTGGACAGAGCTGCTCAGGTGAGTGACACGTGTCTTCTGGCCTTTGGCTGTAGTGCTGTGTCCCACTGAGTATGCTAGCATGCTGTTCTCGTCTCCTCTTTGCGAGGACATGTCCCGAGTTGGCTCCCCACTAAAGACAATCGGCCCCTTCTGCCGAAGATGAGATCCCGGTTGTGCTGTTAGACAAAAATTGACGAACTTCTAGGTGGTTTATATTACCGAACATGTGATTTCAACTATACCTGATCTCGACAAGTGACGCGTATAATGCATGGGTTTTCTATGCCAAAATCTCTAGCGTGCGCCTGTGATCGTGGAATTTTGGTGCTCGGATAGAACGATGGTTTACCTTTTCATCGGTGTTCGTTTTTGGTTAGTTTTTGTGAATATGGCACAGTGGTGCGAGAACTAAAGTTCAGAAGTTGCGTGCTCTGGAACTATCCACGCGCTCTCTTTCAATCTAACGTTGAGTACTCTTCATCAGCCACGTGTACTTTCACACAGCTGTTGTTCCAAAGCTTTGCTAAAGGGCACACGGGACATTTTTTTACAGATGTATGTAATCCCGCATCGCAGTTACATGTGAATAGTTGACTTCACTGTCTTTCCGAACTCCCCCATTCCTGAAGTTTCTAGTCACGAATTTGCATAGTGGCCGAACGCGAAGACAGTTATCGTCGAGACTGTCTAAACATTTTGCTCGCAAGAACAGATTCCGGTGAGTTATGAACGATAGCAAGGTATAGTAAACTTTGTCTAGGAAGCCCTTTAAATTCACTGCTTTGCTTAATGTTGTTGTGGTGCAAGTAGCCGCTTTAGATTACTGCTTTATCCGTAAGCGTTCTCTTGCAGCAACTATGCAACGCGAAACACGAAAGGCCTTGCATCTTCAATAATTGTGTTATTGACAAATTTAAAAGATTTATACGATTTTTATGTTATAACAACATAAACGCAAACGATTGGTAGCGTTAGAATGGAGGATGAACTGTTCAAACAGCACCAAAAAATTCATGGAAACAAAATTTGGACCACCTTGAAAGTTGGCTTTTTTGCAATAACAGTTTTGATGCTAAGAAGCCTGACATAAGGCTATGGAGTTACGAAAAAGACATGCTGGTGGTTTCAATTGAAAGTTGGGGTTGGTGGAGGGCGAACCAACGTAATAAGTTTAGGGACAAATGAATTCATATTTCACAATGGCAAGCATTTTAGTTTGGTGGTGGGCGGACTTGGAAATTTCGGAGACGGGACACCGTAGCATATTAAGGGTTGGTAGTAATAGCTGTAATCGTTTTATTAATGTAATATAAATGCCACAGAAATTGAAGAATTGAACAATAATGTGCAGAAATTCTTCATTACCGAAAAAAAGAAGATGGGTAGACATGCGCAGGCTGCAAAAGTAAACAGCAGAAAAGCTAAGTGTCTAATATTGCTAACATTTATAGGACGATGTTCCTAATTTTTTTACACATTGAGCTGCAATTAGTTTCATAGCGAGACATTTCGTGTACTACTATAAGTATTTCACATGTTTCCGTAAGATTCTTACGGAAGTATGTGTCCAATACATGACTCCATAAAAATTTCGTAATGAAAACATACGGTAGCATATGAATAGCGCAGGGAACGTTTCGGTAGAGATGTTCTAGAGAGCCACGTGCAGCAATTTTCAATTCGTTTAATTTCCAATCCCGAGAAAGTTCGTAAGTCTTCTTTCGAAAACGTTAACGCTTAGTAAGCTACTGCGTGCTCTCCCTGTGAGACCAATCCGCAGGCACTAAAAAGTTGATATCTGTTGGGATGACAGAACAACAACAAAAAATAACGTATTTTGACGTGAACGAGGAGTCGCTTGCAGCGTTGACAATTTGCTACATATAGATCATTTTACGAATGAGTGTTGGTGCCGCCTTAATGGACTGTTTATCTTTGTGTTTTACATAATTAACGACTAAATAAACAGTGTTACGGTAGACGCTTCCACATGAAAAGGGTTGGGTTAGAGCATAACGATGCGTCGCGGCCTTTTTAATTCACGTCGCGATGTGCAACGACAAAACGTGAGCTTCACAGCCCAAGATGGCAGCGCCCATGTGTCTCCCAAAAACAGTCTATATACAGTACAGTTGTTGCACAGTGAAGCAGCTCGGCTCTAAGAGCGATCAGCGAGACATCTTCGTTATGTTCATCGGGCGCACATGTGCGTGGTTCAGGAGGTTGGCAGCATAGAGTTTCCTAAAATTTACTAGATAGAACACTGGCACTTCGATTGTTCAGAAACCATAGGAATTATGGGTATGACATGAATTTTTCTAGTATTCACGCTCGCGAGCGGTCAATGTACTTGCGGCTTCGTTTATTGCTGTGTTTTGGGAAGAAAAGAACAAACCGTTATTCAGTTCGCGACCCGATTTGAAATGGTAAGCCGAAAATAATATTGGGGTGAAGCGTAGCAGCTGAACATTTGTCAATTGTTGTTTTGTCACAAAGGAGCTTGTTACAAGCTGCCACTCTAGCGTCGCCAGCGCGAAGTCGGCGACGGGAATGACAGCAGGTTGGTAAAAAATAGCCGTCCGTGACATTGCCCCCCACTTTCAGAATGTTATTCATAACATTTGCTCACACGGAGGGGAATTTTTTCGACAACAAGGAACAAAACACCCCCAACAAGGGAGGCATGAGGGCTGTCCCTCTCATACGCAACATACATAGGCAGAGTGCATCAAAGTAACAACAAAAGGAACAACAACAATTATTAGAGTACCAGCTTCATTTACACGCAACAATATCAATGCGCCATACAAACAAGAAGAGGAAATAGCCGTGTACGGCAGCCATCAATACAGAATACACTGCACGAATGTATACTACGAAACAAAACGGAACAGGTGCGCTCCTTTACTGTAGGGCAATCTTTCAATGTGCATCACAACAAGTAAAAACAACCAATGCACCAAGCAACAAGAAAATAACTTAAAATACACTTTTTATACAATGAAATACGCTCATACCAACAGAAAACAACCGACGAAAGGAAAAAAAAAAGAACATGCTCATAGACCTCAATTCTCAATGCGCGCAACGACAACTGTACTGGGTCACGCCAATCTTAATCAATTTACGAAATCATTCGGTTTATGCTAACATCTTCCTCCATAAATGCCAATTCCCGCCATATCCACATGACAGTGAAGGCATGCGACATAACACTAAACCTATGAACACTAGAAAAATAACACATTTTCTAGGTTTTTACCTTTATGCAAATTTTCGCACAATGATTAAATTACTTCGATGCTATTTTTCAGCCTTTGGTTCGGTGTTTTCCCTTTTAAAAAAATTACACCGCATCACGTAACTTCAAAAATTTAAAAGACTTGAATACACATCTTGGCGTGCAACTGAGTAACAATATTTAACACGCCTGTGCAAAAGTTACTAGAACTGACCATTCCCCCTTTCTCAACTAGATTCTTTTGAATCGCACACGATGAGGTCGTGGTGCGGGCAGTTTTCGAGCACGCAAGAAGCTACAAAATGCACAAACTCTAAGCAGTGCACTGCCGTCATACCTCATTTTACACTTGGGCCTGTTCCCCTCAGGAATTTGAAAGGGACGCCAGAAACAGGAGGAAAACTGGGGCCACTGTCCCTTTGTGTTCGCCCCGACGCGGTTTTTAGCTTTTGTGATCTTTCGACGTTGACCCTTCGGACAAGGTCGCCTTCCTGAAGTTGTCGAACTAAAACGCGCCTTTCCTTTGGGTAAAGCACCTCGTTTCTCCCCTCTACACCTGGCTCGCCGCTTGTGCTTCCCTGAACGCCACCATTGACGTTCCTTGAAACGGATTAACGGCCTACCCTCTCGTCTTTCTTGCGACTGAGTGGGGCCTGACCTAGGCTTGCGCAGCGCAGTGCGCTTCCGCTTCTTTCGTTTTCGGCGATGTTTGCTTGCCCCCTTTCTCTCGATGCCATCATCAAGTCGCGTCGGGAACTGAGGGGTTGAGCTTGTGCGGCGTTGGAGTGAGGCGTTGGAGCTTGTGCTACATTTTTCCCCACGCTCAAACATTTTGAACTCGGTGTCATGACAGACCGCCGGGCCAAATTATCTTTGTTAACGCTGATAGAATCATTAACTGGGCCCTCTGCTGTGGCATCGCTGCACTCCTGAACTGTCGCGTTCGCGCTGTGTTTAGCCACTGTGCTAACCCTATCTGCATGTGACGATCTCGAGACGTCCTCTCGAGGCATGAGGATGGTTTCCAGCTTCTTACTGAGTCCATTAGGGCTGCTGGCACACACCTCATCCTCGCTAGGACCGTTTTTTGATACTGTCTCTACCTCGAGACCGGCCAAGGCCTCGTTCTCTGCATACTCTACCTGGATGCATTCTAGAATACGCGGGCCCTTTTCTGGCGCGATCTCTGGTTCTAGCGCTTCCTGCCACACTTTCGCGTCCATCGCTTTCCGACGCGCCTCGCTTTCAGACTGTGGTATTTCTGTTTCGCGCTTTCTTTCAGACTCTTGTCTGAGCTGCTCTTCTTTTGTCCAGACAGAAGTTCCAAACATCCGGAACCTATCTGCCTTAACTACCTCGTTGTTCGCGTTCTGCTGACTGAGTCGTGCAACAGCTTCATTTGCCTCGCAAGGCAGAACCGTGAGTAGCCCTTGACACCATGTGTCTCGCTCAAATGACAGTTTCTCGCCGGCATCGCCGTGCTCACTGCTGGATCGGCTCACCCTGCTACCCTCACTGAGGCGAATCTTTAATTGCAGTAACTGCACTTCCCGTTCTCCGGCTTCCCTTGCCGCTTCTCGTTCTTTCGCCCTTTCTTCCCGGGCCCATGCCTGCTCTTCTCTGGCTAACGCCTGCGCCTGTTCCTGCTGCTCCTTAACCCATTGTCTCAGTTCGGCGCCCTCGAGGCCTAACTGTTTACCTTGCGCGATACACTTATCCAAATCTATACACTCCATACTACAAACTGTCACTATATTTCCACTATAAAACCAGCGCA